TAAGGGATAGGTAAGTATTCAAGATGTAGGTGATCATAAGAAAACTTTCTGGCTAATAAACATGGATAGTCTTATCTAGACAATGCTGGATATTGGTAGAAAAGAGGTAAAGATTAGAATGGAAAAATGGGCTCAGGCAGCATTCAATCTGTGGTAGATCTTGAATGTTGGTAGAACATTTGCACTTAGTTATGAAGTATGTACTTAATCATGAACCACTGCAGTTTTTTTAGCATGGGAGGTACATAATCAACTTGTGTTTTATTAAGGTTAATTGGGCAGCACGTTGGGGCATAGATTGAGGCCAATCAGGAAAACACTGGGAGCAGAAAAATACGCAAAAGATTATTATTGTATTAGTCCAGAGAACAGTAGAGATATTTGTGTTGGAAAGATGGGCTTTTGGTGGTAAGCAAAGGAAAGAAAACATGATTTTAAAGAACTGAACACAAATAAGTAATCAAGCAGGAATGGTGCTTCTACATGTATAAAACAAGCACGAACATGAACAGACTATGTAAAGTAATCATACAGTTGGGAAAGAATAGTTTTGCTTTGCCTTTTAAATCTCTCCAAGACTTGTTCAGTGTTACCAGTAATTTTAGAGATGTGGCCAATGAGTTTTGAAAATCAGGATGACTTTCAGTAATATATGTTCCTACAGGAAATAATGTTTACAGGCAAATGAATGCTCTGTTCATCTAAGAATATACCAAGTTAAAAATGCAAATGTCAGCACCAGTTAGAAGTATAAAGGATTTTTTGTCCACTGAACTGATCAAATTATTTTGACTTCTTGTAGGAAAGCATGAAACTTTATAATCATTCTCATCAAAAGTTCTGTGGAACTACCAATCCATTCACTCCTGTTAGACTCTATTATTATTCTTTGTCTGGGACATTTTGGTGTGTGTTGTGATGAGTGAGACTTAACTCTGACCAAACTCTAGGTCATTGTACCTTTCAGCAGAGTCTCAGTAAGAGGCATTATTAATGTGACATCTAACCAGGCCACAGTGGTGTCTAAGCACATGCTATCATATATTGCAGCAGGCATTTTTTGAGATCTGCTTATAGTGCAGGTTCTGGGCTTGGTGGTGACGAGAAGAGTGTGAAGACACTCACAATTTAATAAGGTGCAATTATACACAATAAAAATACAGAGAGATAAGCAGAAAGAAGAAAAATAAAAGAATGAGAGGCCAGCAGCAGGGGAAATTCATTCTGTTTAGTGGTCTATACAGGAAGCTTTACAAAGACAGTAATGTATCATGTAAAATGTGTAAATGACAACCAGTTCATTTCCTCTTTCTCTCTTCCTATTTCTATCCTTCCCTTCCTTCACTTTCTGAAATACTTATGAAGTACCTATTGTGCTTAAAGCTCTATGATAGGAGCTCTAGGTTCAAATCAGACATGAATCCTGCTCTCAAACAACTGTGAAAACATTACATTGAGTATGTACACCAAGTAGAAATTAAATGATCCAACACAGATTCTTGTTTTCTGGTTTCTTGTTGTACTGGCAAATGCTGCCTCCTGTACTGAAGAAATTGTTCTTTTTTTTTTTTTTTTTTTTTTTTTGAGACGGAGTCTCGCTCTGTCGCCCAGGTTGGAGTGCAGTGGCCGGATCTCAGCTCACTGCAAGCTCCACCTCCCAGGTTTACGCCATTCTCCTGCCTCAGCCTCCTGAGTAGCTGGGACTACAGGCGCCCGCCACCTCGCCCGGCTAGTTTTTTTGTATTTTTAGTAGAGATGGGGTTTCACCGTGTTAGCCAGGATGGTCTCGATCTCCTGACCTCGTGATCCGCCCGTCTCGGCCTCCCAAAGTGCTGGGATTACAGGCTTGAGCCACCGCGCCTGGCTGAAGAAATTGTTCTTTCTGAAAAATTTGGACTGTCCCTGGATGGTTTTTATTATGATTAAAGAAAGAATTATAGATTTATTTTTAAGAAGTGATAACAGAACAGACTTTACATCAACCGGATTTACATAAATGTAGGCTACATGCTAGATGATGTGCTATTTTATCCTACTTCTATCATGCTTTGTGCAGATACCTGGCCCAGAATTTTCTTATTCATTGAGAAGACAGAGAAAAGTATAATTATGGCCAAAATACTAGCTTGTACAAAGCTGTTTTTCTTATTGTGTTTTTAATACAAGTGTAAGACAAGCACAGAGGTATAAGACAAAGAGAAAACATTAGAAAAGTAGCTGAAATATAGTAGTCTTGATGCCTTGCTATATTCACTGTTTGAAAACTGTTACTGAATGCACAAGGAAACACCCCCAGTTACTCATGGGGACACTGCTGCATATGGGAAACAAAGCGAGATCTGGAGACAGTGAGATCCTGGCTCAGGATACAACCACCAACTTGCCACTGGTCATTTATAATCCCTGAACTGCACAGGAATACACTCCCTGCAACATGAAAATCAACTTGTGGTATTTCACTTCTCAGTGAGTTTCTGGAAATTGTCCTCTGAAACCCTGTTAGAAAGAACCTTTAAAAATAATTTCATGGTTCTGTGTTAGCGCTTTCTTGCTAAAAATGTGAAAGCTAAAGTTGGTTGGTGGACGCAGAAGTCTTACTAGCTTTGAAAACCTGCTGTGCTTTGTGTTTTACTCTCATTTATTTCTCTCTTCCTAACCATTGAATCTTAAAGCACATTCTTTCATTAAGGAGATTCAGCACCCTCTAGAGTAGTGGACTGTGAGTCATTAACAGCCTGAAGCATGTCCGAGTCTTGAGAGATAAGAGTCAGGCTTGTACAAATGAAATTTTAAACAAATGCTGCAGTACTTTTGTATCTTTCTCTTAAACAGTACAAATTTTGGTTGACTATGGAAATAATAATATTGAAGCTTAAAATTTAACTTCCTTCACAGGTGATGTCTCATAATTTGACATTCTACAGATACAAAAACAGAGTTTTCCTTCTTTCAAAGAATCCTGTTACCCCTCCTAAGAACTATCTCTGATTCATTTCATTGTGTTCCCCATTCTTGTGCCATTCAGCAAAATGGAGCCTGCTTCATCAGTTTTTGGTCTCTGTAGAGTGTTCCTTTATTCAGTGATTAATTACTAGCTTTCTGGTGACTTCTTAATCTTTTCCTGTATTTTAAAATATTCTTTCACTTCAGAATTTTCTTACCTAAGATACAAACACTAAGTGGAACATAAGTAACTGCAGTTGCTTTCCTCCCTAATTAGCTTTGCCTTTCCTACTGAAGATATAATTTTAAAAATGTATCAAAACCCATAAAAGTGAAAACTTTAAAACAAACACTAGGCAATTTGTTTCCTCAGTGAAACAAATTTAGAGGTTAAGGTGACAGAAATGTGTTTAGACCTCACATAACTAATAATGCACCCATTTATGTTAGCAATAGTTTTATTTTTAAAAAAGGCTGCAAAATGTACAGATAGGTGGCCTCTAAATGTTTATACTAAATAGAATGAAAAAACAAAACTCATACACAATTTTATTGTTAGGAAACACTGAAATCCACTGCTTAATGTATGCATTAATGGGGCTTCTTGACAAATCACCTGTTAAATTTTAGCTGACAGCTTGTCATATATTAATTATAAATAATTGTAATATATGGCTATCATAATGCATGCAACAAAAAAAACAGGAAAGGTAATTAGAGTATATCCTTTGTTTTCTCCCTTCACTTCTTGCTCACAAGAAAAAAATGACCCAGTGTTTCACTTGGGTTGGGATAGTGCCAATGGTTAATGGAATGCCCCCGTCTACTAAAGAATTTAATGGGAATATCCATTTGTCACAGTCGCATGCTGTAATCTCCAGTAGCAGAGCCAATAGAAAATAGCATCGTACCATAACGTCCTCTATACACTGCAGGTGAGGGTGAAATGCAGCAGCTGAACAGAGCAGTCAGTGGAGGAGGTCTGGCTTTTCTAGGCCTTTCTTTATGAAAGATGTGGGTTTCTTTACTTAAAGAGGACAGTGCTGCCTAACAGCAACAAGAGATGCTGCCTTGAAGAAAAGGAAAGTACATTTTTTTCACATGGGAAAAGAAAGCATAAATGATTGCACAGCATGTCTCAAAATCTTTAGCTGCCTCCTTGTATATGGGAAGCCCACCTGTTTGTAAAGAACCTTTGAGTAGTAGAATTGTAACAGGTGATTTCAATCATCAACTAGTTCTGAGTTTGAGCTTTCAAATCTGCAGAATGGGAGTAATAACACCCAAGCATGCAATGTTACTGGTAGAATCCATAGAACTACATGGGTGAAAAAATTTAGCATGGCACCTGAATTATTATCTTTTCTTCTTTATAATTGAATTTGAATGATAGGGTTGTGTGACTGCTTTATTTTTTATTTTTGAGAGAGTCTGGCTCTGTTGCCCAGGCTGGAGTGCAGTGGTGTGATCTCAGCTCACTGCAACCTCCACCTCCTGGGTTCAAGCAATTCTCCTGCCTCAGCCTCCTGAGTAGCTGGGATGACAGGCATGTGCCACCACGCCCAGATAATTTTTGTATTTTTAGTAAAGATGGGGTTTCACCATGTTGGCCAGGATGGTCTCGAACTCCTGACTTCAGGTGATCTGCCTATCTTGGCCTCCCAAAGTGCTAGGATTACAGGCGTGAGCCACAGCACCTGGCCATTTATCTTTCTTATGTGCCAGTTCTGTGTTTGGCCAAAGCAAGCTACTGAGAAATGCTGTATAACTTAAATTTGAAAAACACTCTCTGAAATAAAAATAGTAATACTTGTAGAAGTGAATATTTAAGTTATTTGAGGACTAAAACTATTAATTATTGTTTCATTTATGTATTTAGTAGTAAGTTAATAAAGTATGTTAGACATAAGCTAACACCTATAGGAAAGGGTCTCAGATATTAGTTTTAGTGTTTTATGAAATTTCTCACTACCTTCAGAACACGTCACTTGAATCTATGCTGTGTTTCTCCATTTAGCTGCATTTAATAAAAACCACGGTAGTCCTCACAAAGAAAATATGATTAGCAACAATTTATTCCATACCTTGGTTAATAATTTATCATCACTATACAAGTGAAAATATTGGATTTGAAGTCAAACAGATCTAGGTTCAAAATTCTAGCTTGGCCACTCACTATGTCAGCTTGGCCAAATGACTTATCCTCTCTTGTCCTGTTTCCTCACTTACATAATGGGGCTAATAATACTTAACTGGCAAGGCAGTTAAGATTGGAAATGAGGCAGTGACTTTCAAACTTTTAATCACTAGCCACATGATCAAAAAGGAAGTTTTGCAAAAAAAACAAAAACAAAAACAAAAAAACAAAAAAACTTAGTACATATAATGTACTCTGTGTTTTTTTCCTACTTTTCTTTCATTTCAGAAGTTGTTTATGACCCACTAGATTTGCAACCCACACAAGGTCATGATGTGCCTTTTCAAAAACGGGTGAACTATATAACATGCTTCGCACGATGCTTAGTACATAATACAAGTGTAACAACTGATTACTATTATTGTCATCATGATTATTTTTAGTCTCCTGTTAGGATGCCTCATGATAAATGAGAATAAATCTTCCAAGTACTTCTAGGAACTAACTCCTTTGGATGGGGTCCAAAACAGACTCATACTCATCGTATGCTGAATTATGCACTAGAGGGGGGTGTGCTATAGCAAAGCTCCTGTGTGCTATTTATCACAGAATGTTAGAGCTGGAAGGGAACTAAGAAAATGTCTTGTCCTATTGCTTCATTTTTCCTTCATGTAAGTATTTGGAGTTTTTAAATATTCTATATGTATTGCTCACTGATAAGTTGGAAAACTGGCTTCTTTGATCCAGAATGTGGAGGTGATGAACAGTTGGTGGGATGGAGGGCACTGGATCATGATATCTGAGTTCTTGTCCTGCTTCTGGCACCAAATAGTTGGATGATTTTAAATTCTCAGGGTCTTCGTTTCTTTACCTGCAAAAATGAGGTAATTTCAACAAAAGATTAGCCTGCTTCTGATGTTCTTTGACTTAAAATTTCCAAATGGCAAACCAGTCCAGAAGTTTAATAGATGCTGCAGCATTAGGACACTCTTTTGTTGTAAATCTGCTCTGAATATATTAACACGTGTGTAGCAGGCTGCAGTCTCACTTCCATTACTGCTCAGATGAGCAGAGAAACTTTGGCTTCTCTATTTGCTGTACCTCCCGTTCTTCAGCAGCACCACCCTGAATAATTCTCAGTCTCATTTGTATAATAATAACTCAGACTCTGCAGTCACCTTAACCCATCCCTACTTCTTTCTCTAAGATGTTTGGTTGCAGTAGGGACAAGAACATCTAGGACTTCACAGTGTCAGAAAAGTTGCGCTTATGCCATTTACTTGTACTGTCCTCTGCATATCCCCTGATTTCTGGGTCCCTTTTCTACTTGCTTGTTGCTCTCCTTGGTAACAATCATCACTGAGTTTTCGAGCTAGTTTAAATCGCTACCAGTGGTGTAAGATGATATTTCCTCAACTATGTTCCCAGATAGCAGTCAGATTTACCAGCTGGGTTCTTCTTAAATGAGGTCAGATCCGCAGGCAGAGGGATACATTTCTTTCCCACAAAAGTAACAGCAAAGGAATATTAGGGGTTTTAAAACTTTCTGTTTCTCTAACATGCAACTTTGGATGATGAAAGTGGGATTGCCAGTTTATGGGGGCGCATGTGGCAATGAGAAAGCCAAGTTGGAGTTTACATCTTGGGTGGAATCACCTGTGGGGAGGCTGAGATTTCTGGATCCATCCTTAGGTCACAGGGGGCAGGTGTCCATCATCCCTGCACAGCTTTTCAGCTGCTGTGAAATCAGAATGATTGGAGGGTAAACCTAGCTTGGAGGCTTGCACAGGAATTGATTTCTTCCTGATTTTCACTATGACGCTAACCATAAAAAAACAAAAACAAAAAACCAAGAGACAATCATGCCAGGATGCTCCTCCCCCACCCCCAAATTGCTAGAAAACTGAACTTCGTTTAGCGAGATTCTTTTCAAAAATATGTGACTTATTTTTGGAGTACATAGGGGGCAGAGGATTACTGACCAATCCTTTGGTGGCTTTCAACAGCACAGCATGCAGATGGTGGAAATAAATGGGCAGCTTGAGAAAACAGTCAGGATGCTGGATCATTAAGTCAAATCTAAGGGGGTCTGTTTACATTTGCTCTTTCAAAGACAGCCTGGAGTCTGCAGGAATAAGTATTGTGTGTATGTGCTGGCCTGAACATAGAATGAGCAATCGAGGTGGCTGGTGAGCTCTAGCTTTACTTTATTTAACCGTTCTGACCAAGTTTCTAATAAATTTTGATGGGCCAACTGCCAATGGTGGCTTCCAGCTGCTGACTTTTTCCACATGTTGGAGATCCTGTGAGTAGCGAAGAAGGTTAAAATCCATCTCTTAGCTAACAACACACACAGTGCACCTTAGTCACCTTGGGTTGTGTGGATGAGGAGTGCATAGCCCAACAACTGGGTGCTTGTCTAGGGAAGAGGGTGTTATAGTGTCCTTCAGAGAAGCTGAGGAGCACTGCATTTCCAACATCATAAAAGCAAGTGGCACGACAGCAAAACAAGTTATCACACTAAGATTTTGGTTCAATACTTCCCTGCCTTCCTCGTTGCCTTCAAAGTGGATCCTACAAGCATCCCCGAAGGAGGCTGCCAAGGTGAACTGGGGCGGACACAAACTGTGTTTCATTAAAGCACGTTCCTTATATTATCATCACTGCTGTGAAGAGGGCGCGACCAGCATTTTTTCCTCCTTTGCGCTGGGACGCAGAGCAGGAAGCGCCCGGGTGTGCATCTCTTAGGAGATGAGTGAATCTGTTGGAGAGGGTCTTTTCTGGCCTGGTGGATGAATGCTGGGGAGTGACGTCACCCCGCCCCCTCCTCTGGTGTGTGTGTGTGTGTGTGTGTGTGTTTGTGTTGCCTCCTTCACCCACCACTCCTGCCTGCCCCTCCTTCATCCAGCTCTCTGGCCCTTTCAGTGGGTCAGTGGTCCAGATTCAGGGATTCGCCAGCAGGCGCAGCGGGCCCAGCTCTCCCCGCGTCCGGGCGCACCCACACTCACACTCACGCGCAGGCAACGCGCACACACAATCCCCCAGCTCTGGAGCACAGCAATACCGTGGGATCCCCAGCACGTTACGAGGATTTTAGAAATCACCCAGACAAGGAAACAAAGAGAGAAGCCTTTCCAATTACTTTCCTGGGCTTTTTTGTTTAATTTCCCCCACCAAACCACCTCGTCTGCAGCCGTAACTACCAGGTTCACGCCAGGTCCAAAGACTGGGCTGGGCTGGCCACCCCACCTCCCGGCCCTTGACTCTGTTCGGGCCCTTTCCCAGGCGTCGCCTCGCACCCCTCTCCCCCCACGAGCCTCAGTTTCTGGTTACCTCGCGTGCGCTTCACTTTTGGGGGGAAGAAGAGAAGAAGGGGAGGGAGGCACCGAGGGGGGCAGCCGAGTTGCTATTTGTGGCCAAAGAATCCGCTTTAAAAGAAGAGGCAGCAGGAAGGAGGAAACAGGAGAGGCGGAGGGAGGAGAGGAGACGCGGCCCCGGACCCCCCAGCCGCGAGCGGCGGAGCATCGAGGAGCGGGAGGAGGAGGAAAAGGAGGAGGAGGAGGGAGAGGAGACAAACGGCGGCGGCGGCGGCGGCGGCAGCGGCAGCGAGAGAAACGGGCGCCGGGCGAGCAGGAGGAGCGAGAGGAGGAGAAACCGCCGCGGAAGCCGCGGGCTCAGAAGGGCCAAGAGGACGGCCCGAGAAGAGGAGGAGGAGGCGGAGGAGGAGGAAAAGGGGGTAGGGGTGGAGGGAGGGCGGGGGGACGCGCTCCCTTGGATGCTGGATTTCGGGTTTTTGGACTCACTCGCTGACTCTTTTCCACTTCCTCGCTCTGGACTGGGCTGGCCGCACGAGGGCTGGGCGGCGGCGGCGACCAGAGGGGCTTCCGCGGCAGCGGCCGCTGCTCCGCGGGATTAAATTGGCCGCCCGGAGGCGGCGGCGCGGGCCGGCGCCGGCTGCGCGGCCGTGGCAGGGCGCGAAGGCGCTGGAGGAAAGTGCTGGTGGCGGCGCGGGAGGCGGTGGCGGCTGCTGCCCAGAGCCAACATGACCAGGTAAGTCCCTGGAACTGACCCCGTCCGCCCCGCTGTGTTCTCCCCTCTGGCTGCTCGGGAATCGCCCTGCGCGCAGCTCCGGCTGCCGGCGCCTCCCCGGCCAGAGCGACACGCTCCCGCTTCCGCGAGCCCGGCGCCCGGGCAGCGGAGCGCACAGTTTGCTCCTCTGAACCTCCTCGGGCAGAGGTCCTCCCCTGCAGGGTTCACTTCTCGCCTGAAACCTTAGACCCGGGAGAGAGGCGACTCTAGAGAATGGGGGTGTCCGGGTATGTGTATTTGTGCGACCCCCGCTTTCTCCTCCTAGGGTGGGCGTAGTATTGGGGGGGAATGGTGGAGCAGTGGGGCAATGCACCCTTACCCAGGGATCCTGCCACCGCCTTTTTTAAAGGCAGGGATTACTGTTTTAAGGAGGGCTGATTACGGTGAGGGGGCGATTTCTTTTTCTTTCTTTCCTCTGAACTAGTGGGGAGAAAGAGAAATAACAGGAATCAAAGTCTACGCAGCTGCCATAGAGGAGGGGGATTGTTTGGGAGACCTTTCCGTGGCAGAATCAAAGCTCGTAGTTCAGCTGCGGGAATCTGGTGCACTTAACACACACATTCATTCCGTAGGGAAGAGGACGCATCATTTGTAATGAAGAGGCAAAGTTGTAGGAAACAATTTAAAAAGAAAGCCACGAACAAACCAAAGATTCTTTGCTTTCCTATAGATTTATTGTAGCTTTTATGTAGGTGTGTAGAAAACTTGCATTGCTTCTCTGGACGTTGAATTTCATTTAAAAACACAAACATGTGAAGTCAGTTTTTAAGTCTTATGCTTAAAATCTCGAACACCAAGTGTGAGCTTGGCTTTCACTAATTGGGTGTTTCAGAATTCCAGATAGTAGTTCCATTCTCCAAAACCAGGACTATCACAATCCACTTGTATTGTTTCCAGTTCGCCTCCCAGTACGCTACTTGCCAAATGTCTCTTGTTTTCTAAAATTCTCAGAGTAATCCCCCAGCCTCATCTACAGTTTGCACCTTAAGTATCTAGGAAGATTCCTGAGGGATCGTTCTCCTTGTATTTCCTATTAAAGTTATATATATATACACATGCATTTACATGCCCAAAGACACAGTGCCAGTGACTTAACAGAGTGTAGCTAACACATTTTGAACCTCTGAAAGGCTAGTAACTGCTTATGACTTGAGATAGATTTGCTGTTAGATTTACTGAGCTACAAATGTGGACTTTACCCTTTGGTGTGTTCTTTTCTAACCATCCTGTAGCACGTCTGTGGGGAGTTAGTTCAATCACAGATACTTCTGACCATTTTGAGTATTTTTTCTCTGTTTCAAAGTGCACACACCAACCACTCAACTTGAGTAAAACAAGGATGATATACCAAGACTTGAAACATTCTGATGTAAAGGGATCTGTAGATGATAATAACTTAAGATTAAGTTGTATATGTAATATAATAATATCCAGTAAAAGGCTTAGTATCTTACTTACTTTGAATATATATTCTGTTTTATGCTACAGACAATATAGCAAAAAGAGAACACATTTTCAGTGCTCCGTGTCTGACTTACGGAAACAGACATCCTAAATGGACAGTAAAATTTTCCCTACCTCCCACATTCCATAATTATGTACTGTACTTTGCTTTTCAATGGAGCTAGCAATTCTGTGGCAGATTTCTTAAATTCACCCTCATGCTATCAGCTATTATTGTACTTTCAAAGTGTGAAATTGACAAGCTGGTCAGTTTCATGAATTCAGCTGTCAGATTGTGTCCAGTTAAAAATTGCTAAAAGCTGTAAATGTGCCTGCCTGGAATTTTCTTTTGTGAAGGAAGGACAGCAAGGGGATGGGGGATTAATGGGTGTTATTAATTGTAGATCTTTTAAAATAGGTGCACTCCAATGTGAGTTGTATCACTGGCTGTTATTGGGAAATACGTTTAGATTTTTACTCCTGTAAAAGTGGCATTCAATTTTTATCTGTATCTTATTTTAAATAGTACTTTACACAGAAATCATCTGTTCTTATAGCCCTTAGTAATATATAATAGGAATAAGATTCAAAGAGGAACAGTGTCTCTCCCAAATATATTTTAATATAGTTGAGTAATGTATTACTTTTGCATGACATGTAAAGAGGTGGATGAATTAAACGTTTCATTGTGTAGGTTATGTAACACAGATTCTTCTTGGGCCAGAGCAGTTGTGCAGTTACTCAAGTAATGAAATGCAGCAATTTATTTTAATATATGTGCATTAGAGTAGATAACCATAGATGTAAAACTGCTTAAAGTATTAAATACAGTGATTTGATTTGCCTTTTAAGATGGACTCTTATTTAAATCCAGAATATCTCAAAGTCTGGAACTAAGAATTGGAATCCCCTCATCTGCTGCTATTTGCTAAGCCACTAGGGGCCTGTATAACTGTTCTTATATCCAGGAGGTATCCTGGTATGGCATATGCAAAGCCTTCCTAGAGAGACATTAAAAAAAAAAAAAAATCACGTAGGCATTCCCCCCAAGTTTTTGTTTTTTCCTTTTTAATACATTAACTCATACTCTGATGCTAGTTATAGACAATGATTGAAGACTATTTCAAGAATTTTATTTAGGGCTTCTCTGACACTATGATTTTCATATAGAGTGTGAAAAATAGAAAAGAGAAAAGGTATTGGTGCAAATTCATATGTGATTCCACTTCTCAGTGTATGGCAAAGATAAACAAGAAGGAACATTAATAACTTTTCTTTATTGGACTGATAAGGATGTCATTTGCATAATGTAGGGTTAAAAGATAAATGAAGCAGAATTACTTTAAGGGAAGTATAGGCATAGATTGATGATGTGATTAAACTAGCTTTGTAAGCGCTGTACAAGTTTGTATGGAAAGAGAATCTGAGGCTGTGACCACAGTTTAGTCAGCACTTGAGGGACCTGGACTGAAGACGCACTATACATTCTTAAGTGTCAGTTTCACAGATTTGAAATCGACCAGCCATGGCAATCTTGAGAGACATTAGGCAGTAAGGTCAAGTATACTTAAACTGTTCTTTCGTTGATTTTCAGTTTTTCAAAGTGACAAGGGTGACTATTTGTAAAAGACTACCCTGTAAGTATTTGCATATTAGATTTCCTTCAGACCAAACTTGATTTATCAAACCATTGGACAATTCTATTTTTAAAAGGATTCTATGCATAAATAAGAATTCATTAACACAATCACATATGAAAAGTGTCATTTCAAGAAAGGTGACTATTTCAAAGATGATTTCATTTTAAAACTATCCTTCCTTAGTTTACCTTTTATTTTAAAACCTTCTTTAGTTTCATTGTGTATTTGCAGATAGTATAAGAGTCAAGTGTGTGTGTGTGCTCGTGTGCTCTAACTTGTGATCCTAGGAGCATCAGGCTTAAGTTTACACTTAAAATATCTATGCAGATAACCTTTAATGGTGGTACCTTTTTAATTCCCAACAGTTTCTGGGAATCTCGAAAATGAACTTTATGTTTTATGTAGTGTACTCAACTTAGTGGTCACAAAATATACAGGATTTGTGTTACATGCCCAGATATAAGAAGTGCTAAATATAGATATAATTATCCAGTTTTCCCAGAGTATTCAAAGAATGCTTTACTTTTTCCTATGTTCTTAAAGTGACAACAGTTACATGTGATTTAAGCCAAATTTATTCTGAATCTCTTTTGGTTTTATAGAGTTATTTACCTTTTTTTGTTGTTATTTCATCTTCTTACTGTTCAGTTTCTTTGAAAAAATCTTGTAGGAAAGCTACTTACTTGTGACGGCAAAGAGGCAGCTTGCTGCCTCAAGCAAAACCAATGTTTTAAAACATTCCTTTTTATATTATCAGTGATTTGCCAAGAAAGAGCAAAGAGAAGAGTTATTCTCTCTGTGAACTACAAGATTGAGAATTCCTATATAACACATCAACTGAAGAAATCTGATAATGTGGAAGAAGATTGCTTAGAAGGGATTTGTTAGTAAATTTCATTTTAACAAGCATCACTTGTTTAAGCTTCTGTAATTTCATGGCATAGTGACATTTCTACCAAAGGATAGGTTTGTTTGGGATACATTTTCTATATGGGTAATCTCATTTGCTTCTAATTAGTAGTTGGTAACACTTATTAAAATGTCATGCTTGGCTTACATTTATTTCCATAAAGTGTCCAAATTCTCTCCCTTTTTAAAAAAAATAAAAATGCATTTCAGCTTTCCACAATTAAGCCCTTAAGATAGCTAAAAGAATATATGACTTGTGCTTCCTGATTGTTCATTATATGAAATTATAGCCTCAGATGTAAAAGTTCAGCATTTTCTCTGCGTCATAAGTCTTGGGAAGGTCAAAGAGCAAGTGCTTATATGTTACAACAGTCTCTGACCTAATGTAACCTAAATAATAATGTCATCACAATGGCGCTAGACTGGAGAATTAATGAAATAGAATTCTTACAAAACATAGTTCACAAAATTACACTTAAGACCTGTGTCTCTCATTTCCCCCTTAATATATTACCCATTTGCTTTCAAGAAATCAACAGTTTGCATTTTTTTCTCAACATTTTATTTATAAAATATTTTTAAGACTTAGACATTACGTACTTTACGTATTACATCTGTGTGTACTGCCACACTCCTCGAAGCGACTCACAGGAAAAAAAAATGGACTAAAACAATGCTTGCAATGCCTCCCTCCTCCCTCACAAAATGATTAATTCTGTATCTTCCTGTTCATGATTTTTAGTTTGATGCTAATACATTTAATAGGACCATATTAATACTATTCAGTTTGCCTGTGACATTTCCAAAATTAACAAAAGGGGGAAAAAAGAGAGAGACAGCAAAACTGAGCTTTTTCATGGCTTTTTAACCTCTGCTGTCCTTCAAATCAAATCCCTTTGTGTCATAGATGAGTAAACTAAATGAAAAAGATGACAATTTGGAAAGCTAAGACAGCTCATTCTGTCTGTAAGCTAGTAGGTCATGTATACCGGCAGGCAAATAGTATTGAGACAACTTATGTCCTTCCCTCTTCACCTTCGACAAGCAAGCCTTGCTGTCCTTTGTAAATGGCTGCTTTTAGGTAGCGGGTCCCCACTTTGGCTCCTCCAGCATTTACAACAAAATGTAAGAGCCAAAGCAGCCATCTGAGTCAAGGCTTTCTC